CTGTGCCTCCCTGTGTCCTGTGAACCTGGGCTGCCACCAACACACTCCCCTGCTTCCCAGCTGCCTCTGGTTATTTCTAAACTGAAAGCCCTACGTCCACAGGAGCAGATGCACAAAAGAAACAGTCATGTTGTCCACACGTTGGTGGGCGGGGCATCTGGGAAGGTTGACTTTCAAAGAACCAGAAGGGTCCGGGCTGGTGGCTGGATTCCGGTTGGACCTTGATGAACCAATGGGTCCATTTAAGGCAAAGAACACAGACACTCTGATTAGGGAAGGTGGTCGCATAGCCTCCCTCACCCCAACTCTGAGGCACATCGTTGTGACCTCCCAGGGCGGAGGTGACAGAGGAGAGTCAAGACCTAGAGGGAAAGGCCTGAGACTCCTCAGCTCCCAGCTCAGGGATGGCTGAGGGGGCTGCAGACCCAGGCAGGCCCCTGGCAGAGTGGGCCATCAGGAAGGGCAAAGTCTGGGAGGGGAGGATGGTGAATTTCTCTAATAGTGTCAACAATACAAATAAGATTGTCAGAAGGGGCAAATGTGTACTATTCAGTGGGATTTCGTACATTCACCATCTTGTGCAACCATTGCCTCTACCTTGTTCCAAATTATTTCCATCACCCCCAAAAGAAATGGTGTGCCCATTGAATCCATGTGCTGGGGGCATATTCCAGCAGGTCATAAATGCAAGAAGTTCATCAAAATGTTGATGGGTTTCTATATTCCTGGGAGAGCACAGAGCTGGGCTGGACATTGGAGGGGCTTAATCATATTACCTGCTGCTAAAATACCTGAAAGCATTTCCCCAAACCTGAAAATATACATGTTATTACCTGCTGCTGGCCAAACAGCTGAACAGTTGAAGGCAGCTCCCCAACCTGACAATGCCTACTGTATAACAAACCTTACCTTTGATATGTATATCTGCTTTGCTTTAGAGCAATTTGTGTTAATAAAAAGCTAGGGGTCCAGAGATTCAGAGAACTTGGTTACTGAAGCTACGGCTCCTCTGGCTCCCCAAAATGAATTCCAAATTTATATTTCTAGTCTCTTTATTAATTTACTCGCAGCCTTCTCCAGATTCCTGAACCCGTCTAGATTCAGGGAAAGACCCCGGTACCATGAAGGTCTGTCTCAGACACAGGACCAACAGGCGTGTATGTACAGAGAGATGTATGGGGCAGGATTGGCTCACACAATTCAGGAATCTGGCAAGTGCAAAATCTGCAGGGAGGGCTGGTGGCTGGAGACCAGGAGAGCTGCTGCTGCAGCTCAAGCCCCAGGAAGTCTGTCCACAGCATCTGGGGTCAGTCCTGTTCTCTTCAGCCCATGTGAGGAGACCCACCCACCTGATGGAGGGCAGTTTGCTTCCCTCCCATGTCTTAGAGGCCCTGGTTGGCTGGGCTGGGGATCATGTTGAAACCCAGAGCAGCGAGCTGAGATTTGATAGCCCCCAGATGGTGTCTCATTCACCCAAAGAATGAAATCTCAGTAGAGAAGATTGAAGCAAATGTGGGGAAACTTTATTGCAAGCAGATTCAGACTCCCTGCATGGGGAGAGGGCTCAGTCATGGTTGCCACTGAAGCCTGTGGTCTAGGGGTACATATTTGCTACAAACCTGCTCTCTGTCTCCCACTGTGGACACCTGATTGATTCTCTCAATTGTTCTTGACCAGAAGCAGACCTGAACCTTAGTGTTACAGCCCCTTCCTAGTTTCACGTGTCTCCCCTCTGAATCTCAATCATTGTTATTTCTGCGTGGTTCGCTCCGTGGTCAGGCTGGATAACATGGTCGTATCTGTCCTGCCTCCATCTGTGTTTGTTTCCTGTGGGGCACTGCCCTGTGTGTCTGCCTGTCAATCAAGATGACTCCTCTCAATGGTCCTGGGAAGATGAAGGTTGAGGCCAAGCATCCTAACCCACATGGGCCTGGGTTCTCTTGTCCTTGAACAACAGCGGGGGCGGCTCTGGTCATCTGGGCTCCAGGGTGAGCCTCGGGCCCTCGGTGAGATCCCTCCTGGTGCTCTGGGGTCCCCTCTTGCTGGGGGGCTCCCTTGTGTTTACTCCTGTGGTCCCTGTGGGGCCCTACGCTGGCTGAGCCCAGCTTCCACCAGAATCACCACCAGGATCAGCAAGACCACGCCCGCCAGGCCCAAGCGAATGCTGTTCTCCACAGTGTAATCCCGGGAGGCGGGGCCTGGAAGCAGAGGGTAGGAGTCACTGACAGGTGGACACGACCCTGCCAGGCCAGGCCCAGGTGGGGGCGCCCCAGGCTGAGGTCCCCCCTACCCAGCCCAGGCTCTGTAGGGTGGGGGGGGGAGCAGAGGGCTCTAGGGGCTCCAGTGAAGGGGGCAAGGGAAGCACTGAGCCCAACTTCCTCTCTGTCTTCCCCACTCACCTGGTCCTTCACCGCCCACAGCACCCTCACCTGGCCTCTTTCTCTGCACCTCCCAGTATAGAGGACGCCCCCGACAACCCCCAGAAAGGGCACAGGGAGACGAGGACACTGGGGTGGCACCCTCTCTGCTTCCACTTGTCTGAGGTGCTGGCCACCCCTCAGAACATCCCGTCACCCTCCCTACATTAGCACAGGGCAGCTGGTCCTGGCCCATGGACACACAGGGTGGGAGCCCCCTGACCCGGCCACAGGCTCACAGGGCCTGAATTCTGAGCTCACCTCACCCGGCCACTGTGCCACCAACCGTCCCCCAGGGCAGGGAGGGTCACAGGGTCAGGATAAACTAGTGGACACCTCCAGGCCTGGTTGATGAGGGTCACCACAGGGCATGTGCTTCTACCCATAGGATGTCTTGAGTCACAGCATGAAGAAGAGAGAGGAGAGAGAAGACCCTTCGATTTAAAGGTAGAATTTCTCCCCTCCCTCACTCTCCATGTCCTTGCTTGACTCTTACTCAGGGTCCAGTTTGTATCAGGGTATGACCACACCTGTCCAGGGACAGCCTCATCCAAAAAAATACCACAAAGCACTGCCAATCCATGGGCAGGGACCCCATGGACCATGGGATTTGCTCACGGTGGGGGGACCCGAATGGATACATTGCCTGGTCCCCACAGAGCCTGGCCAGGGGAAAAGGCAGGGCACCACCTGAGGGGAAGAACTCATGGCCACTTGTAGGGGTCTGTCCCCACCTGGTGGCTGGAAACTCAGGCCCCACCCATCCCAGCAGGACAGCTCTGTGTCCCCTCTGATGCGGGGCTCAGGGTCCAGACCACTGTGGTGTCCAGATGGGACCAGACTCCAGGGCCCTGAGCCAGGGGTGAAGGCTGAGGGCCGTGTGTGCAGAGGGAGGGGAGCCCCAGGGCAGGGGGTGAGCAGGAGGGTAGGGAGCCCGAGGACAGAGACGAGGCTGGGACAGGTTGCAGGGCCCTGGGACCCACCTGAGGGCGGAGTGGAGTCCTCCTCTGTCATTTTCAGCTCCAGGGGCTCACTGTGCTCAGACCAGAGGGAATCTTGGTGATAGCGGCAGCGATAACGCCCAGCCATGTCTTCACTCACCGTGGGGAAGTGGAATCTGGCCTTTGTCCCCTGCCAACCATCTTGAGACTCGCTTTTCTGACCGTAATATTCATGTTTTCCATCCTTCTCCAGGCGGAATAACTCAGCCCCAGCTGGGCCCCGGCACACCAAGGTCACAGGCCGTCCCCGGGGGACCACAGGGCCTGGCTGGACCCTGAGGGAGGGTTTGGGCCAAACCCCTGGGAGGAAGCAGAGCAGGATCTCAGGCTCCATCATGAGGAAATCTCCAACCTCCCCCCCCACTCCCCCCCGGGCTTTAAGCGTGCAGCTCAGTGGAGTTTAGCAAACTCACAGAGCTGCGCAACCCTCACCACAGCCCAAATCTACACCATTTTCACCATCCCTTCCCCAAAACCCTATCCCATCCTCGTCCAGGAAACTGAATTTTCATCACTCCTGTGACTTCCCCATGTGACACAAGGACCCGAGTTCTGGTGACATCGTGGGCTTTTCTCAGGAGGACACGGGAGGTGTCACAGCAGCCTGGGGCCCTGGGAAAGTCGCCTTCCCCACAGCCACTCTCCAGGGGGACAGACAGGGCTGGAAGGGAGGAAGAGGATGAGGATGAGCAGGCCATTTGTGGGGACAGGGACCCAGGATTCTGAGATGGTGGGAATGACCTGGCTGGCTCTGCAGGCAGCTGGAAAGATTGAGGGGACCAGAGGGACTGCAGGGCCCCATGGGAACTCTAGTGGGCGTGGGGGTGGAGCTCCAGCGCCTACCTGCTCACATGACCCCTGTTGGTGTAGAGACCCTACACTCAACTCATTGGCAAGTCCTCTGAGCAGCACTAACTCAGGTTCCCTCTGCATTTCCCGCCTTCCTCTCAGCCCTTTTCAACTTCCTTGTTATTGAGGCACCTGAAACCCCAAGTGTCTAAACTGGGCTGGGCAGGGGAACAGAGGGTTCTAGCCCTGAAACAGGAAGAAGGCATTCAAGTTACTCAATCCCCATAGAGCCAGAGCTGGCCGAGCCCCAGAACTCATTCCCTTGGTTAGTCATCCCCTCCTTCCTTCAGCCACAGCTCAGCTCCCATCTGTCCCTTTACAGACGCCTCCTTGTGCCACTGGCTCCACAAAGAGGAGAAACACAGGAGGGTCCCTGCCTTCTTGGGGGAAGGGTAGAGGGAGCACAGGGCTGAGGAGGGTGCAATCCACAGCCACGTGCTGTGATACTCGCCCAGGGCTGAGTGTGGGAGGCTCAGGGTGAGTGTGGGAGGCTCAGGGCTAGGGGGGCAGAGATGACCTCTCAGAGTCACGGGGGGCGGCCCTGAGCTGAGACCAGAGGCCAAATATGAATGAGCCAAGCGGAGCTACATGAGCCTTAGTGTGGGAGGTGGTCATGGTAGAGACAGATCATGGTGTTTGTGAAAGTGAAAGAAAGGCTGGTTTCTGAAGGTAACTTAGCCAGAGGGCATGAGAACAGACCGATCCAGACAAAGAGAGAGGCTGGGGGCTCATTCCAGCTGAGGATACACCTGGAGAGGACTCTGAGGAAAAGCAATATTTTGCCTGAAAATGAAACTTGTATGTAAAACTCCATAGAAAAGGGCGGACTCACCCTCCTGCATGTGGATCGTCTGGCCCAGGCAGAGCACTGCAAGGGATGGTCTGGTGAGAACAACACCCAGCGCCTGGTTCCGCCCCTGCCAGCAATCAGGGGGCCTTCCTGGAGGCAGCCGACTCGGCCCGAGAATATCCCAGGCTCCCTCCTGGGCATTTCCTCTGAGCACAATCCTGCTTCCTGCTCTGAGTTTCCAAACAAACCCCCACCCCCTCTTCCAATCAGGTCCTCAGTCAGAACCTGTCCCCATGCCCAGGCACCTGCTTCTAGGACTGACCCTCCCATGGTCACACTTAGGTCAGGCCCAGAGCTGAGGGACCACACCCCCAGGAGGGACCATGAGTCTCCTGGGCTGGAGTCAGGACTGAACTGGTATGGCGACACCTGCTCTAGCTCCCACCAGCTCAGTCCCTGGAATACGGTCCCTCCATCCAGGACTCACCGAGGCCCAGGAGGGTGGAGGGCCGGGGGCTCATGGGCAGCCTCTCCCAGTCTTCTCTGTCCTTGTCCACCTGTAGGAGGTGAGTCTGTCTGGGTGAGGGAGGACAGGGTCCTGCAGGTCAGTGAACGTGCAGGGCGGCTTTAAAGGGGCCGAGTCATATGCGTTATTTCCGTGGTTTCTTATGAAAGGAGGTTGGGTGCTCCAAACTCCAAATCTAGTTTCCCCTTTTTGGGTCCAGAGTGGTGTTGGTGAAAGTATATAAAATATTGTATTTCTAATTTGTTCAGGCAGCAGTTTCTAGAGATGTATGTCCTAACCAGGCTCAACCCATGACCAGATGAAACCTACATGGTATTAATTCACCGGTGATGGACAAACATTGATGATAGATACATAGATCCAAGATAGATCTAGATAACTGGATACTCAGATACATAGATGTATAAGTTGTTACACAGATACTCAAATTGATAGTTACATAGATAAATACATAGATGCAAACATGGAAATAGAGATAGTTACAAAGATACTTAGTTATATAAACCCATCCTGGGGTACATACATAGATATGCAGATTGTCAGATACATAATTATATACATAAGGAGAGTTGAATAGATATTTAGATAGATACACAGATCTATACTAATAAAAGGTAATATGTTAATTAGACCGGGTCGACCAGACATCTTCCGGAAGTCCAACATCCTTCTGGACAAATAGGGGGCGACCAGGCCAGCAGAGTGGCCGTTCGGGGTGACGTAGCCATTAGGGGACCAGTTAGGTGGCGATCGGGCCAGCAAGCTGAGGTACTTAGGGGCGATCAGGTAGGAAGGCAGAGTGGTTGGGGGCGATCATATAGGCAGGCATGGGAGCAGTTAGGAGCCAGCAGTTTTGGACTGTGAGAGGGATATCCAACTGCCGGTTTAGGCCCCATTGCATATGGGGCCTCAACCAGCAGTTGGACATCCCCCGAGGGGTCCCAGATTGGAGATGGTGCAGGTGGCCTGAGGGATCCCCCAGCCATGCATGAATTTTGTGCACCAGGCCTCTAGTAGTTATATAAATATATCGATATTTACATACATAGTTACATATATAGATAGATACATAGATAATTAGATAAATACCTACATAGATAGATATATAGATACAATGATAGATACTTAGATACATAGAAAGGTATACAGACAATACAGGCAGGAAAACTTCTTGGCTTGTGAGGACTGTCCTTTAAAACTGAGTGTCTTCTCTCCCCTCTCTCTTTGTCCTGCTGTGACTCAGACATGCCATGGGTGGGAAGAAGGGCAGGGCCAGGGGTGGCCCCCATCGTCCAGGCCTGGGTGTGTCCACCTAGTTGATCCTGACACTCGGCTTTAAAGGACAGTCCTCACAGGCTGACTGTCCCCAAACCACACATTACCTTATGCAAATGCTTCAGTTTCTCAGGGCAAAGGGGAAACCATAGAACTCTCCTGACACCTCCATGTCATTCCTGGGAGAGCACAGAGCTGAGTGGGACACTGGAAGGACTCAGCCCCCCCTCTCCCAAGCTCCGAGGGCTGGCGGCACCTGTCTCAGGCTCCATGCCTGTGCCTCCCTGTGTCCTGTGAACCTGGGCTGCCACCAACACACTCCCCTGCTTCCCAGCTGCCTCTGGTTATTTCTAAACTGAAAGCCCTACGTCCACAGGAGCAGATGCACAAAAGAAACAGTCATGTTGTCCACACGTTGGTGGGCGGGGCATCTGGGAAGGTTGACTTTCAAAGAACCAGAAGGGTCCGGGCTGGTGGCTGGATTCCGGTTGGACCTTGATGAACCAATGGGTCCATTTAGGGCACAGAACACAGGCACTCTGATTAGGGAAGGTGGTCCCATAGCCTCCCTCACCCCAACTCTGAGGCACATCGTTGTGACCTCCCAGGGCGGAGGTGACAGAGGAGAGTCAAGACCTAGAGGGAAAGGCCTGAGACTCCTCAGCTCCCAGCTCAGGGATGGCTGAGGGGGCTGCAGACCCAGGCAGGCCCCTGGCAGAGTGGGCCATCAGGAAGGGCAAAGTCTGGGAGGGGAGGATGGTGAATTTCTCTAACAGTGTCAACAATACACATAAGATCATAAGATGGGGCAAATGTGTACTATTCAGTGAGATTTCGTACATTCACCATCTTGTGCAACCATTGCCACTACCTTGTTCCAAATTATTTTCATCACCCCCGAAAGAAATGATGTGCCCATTGAATCCATGTGCTGGGGGCATATTCCAGCAGGTCCTAAATGCAAGAAGTTTATCAAAAGGTTGATGGGCTTCTATATTCAGCACTACCGAATCACATTACCTGCTGCTAAAATAAGTGAAAGCATTTCCTCAAACCTGAAAATCTACATGTTATTACCTGCCTCTGGCCAAAGAGCTGAACAGCTGAAGGCAGCTCCCCCAACCTGACAATGCCTACTGTATACCAAACCTTACCTTTGATATGTATATCTGCTTTTCTGTAGAGCAATTTGTGTTAATAAAAAGCTAGGGGTCCAGAGATTCAGAAAACTTGGTTACTGAAGCTAGGTCTCTGGCTCCCCACCAAAATGCCTTCAAAATTTATATTTCTAGTCTCTTTATTAATTTACTCACAGCCCTTCTCCAGATTCCTGAACCCGTCTAGATTCAGGGAAAGAACCCAGTACCATGAAGGTCTGTCTCAGACACAGGACCAACAGGCGTGTATATACAGAGAGATGTATGGGGCAGGATTGGCTCACACAATCCAGGAGTCTGGCAAGTGCAAAATCTGCAGGGAGGGCTGCCGGCTGGAGACCAGGGGAGCTGCTGTTGCAGCTCAAGCCCCAGGAAGTCTGTCCACAACGTCGGGGCCAGTCCTGTTCTCTTCAGCCAATGTGAGGAGGCTCACCCACCTGATGGAGGGCAGTTTGATTCCCTCCCATGTCTTAGGGACCCTGGTTGGCTGGGCTGGGGATCATGTTGAAATCCGGTACAGCGAGCTGAGATTTGATAGCCCCAGATTGTGTCACACACACCCAAAGAACAAAATCTTGGACCACAAGATTGAAGCAAAAGTGGGGAAACTTTATTGCAAGCAGATTCAGACTACCTGCATGGGGAGAGGGCTCAGTCATGGTTGCCACTGAAGCCTGTGGTCTAGGGGTATATATTTGCTACAAACCTGCTCTCTGTCTCCCCCTGTGGCCACCTGATGGATTCTCTCAATAGTTCTTGCCCAGGAGCAGACCTGAACCTTTGGGGTTCCTATGCCTCAGCTCACCTTAGTGTTGCCGCCCCTCCCTAGGTCAAGTGCATCTCCTCTGAGTCTAAAATCATTCTGTTATCTGCGTGGTTGGCTTCCGTGGTCAGGCTGGATAACATGGTCGTATCTGCCCTTCCTCCGCCTGCCTTTCTTTCCCCGGGACCCTGGCCTGTCTGCCTGCCTGTCAATCAAGATGACTCCTCTCAATGGTCCTGGGAAGGTGAAGGTTGAGGTCAAGCATCCTAACCCACGTGGGCCTGGGTCCTCTTGTCGTTGAATAACAGTAGGGGCGGCTCTGGACATCTTGGCTCCAGGGTGAGCCTTGGGCCCTCGGTGAGGTCCCTGCTGGGGCCTAGGGTCCCCTCTCTCTGGGGGTTCCCTTGTGTTTATGCCTATGGTCCCTGTGGGGTCCTGTGCTGGCTGAGCCCAGCTTCCACCAGAATCGCCACCAGGATCAGCAAGACCAAGCCCGCCAGGCCCATGCGGATGCTGTTCTCCACCGTGTAATCCCGGGAGGTGGGGCCTGGAAGCAGAGGGCAGAGGTCATTGACAGGTGGACACAACCTGGCCAGGCCAGGCCCTATGAAGCTGGAGCCCACTGCCCAGCAGAGCCCGAGGAGGAGTCGCCCCAGGCTGAGCTCTCCCCTCCCCAGCCCAGGCATCAGGTAGAAGCGGAGGGCTCCAGTGAAGGGGGTGGGAAAGCACTGAGCCCAGGTTCCACTCCATCTTCCCAACAAACCTGGCCCTTCACCACCACAGCGCCCTCACCTGGCCTCTTTCTCTGCACCTCTCACTATAGAGGACGCCCCACACACGCCCCAGAAAGGGCTCAGGGAGACGAGGACATTGGGATGGCACGCTCTCTGCTTCCACTTGTCTGAAGGGCTGGCCGCCCCTCAGAACGTCCCACCACCCTCCATACATTAGCACAGGGCAGCTGGTCCTGGCCCATGGACACACAGCCTCCCGAGGGGAAGGACACCTGGCCCCCTGCAGGGGTCTGTCCCCACCTGGTGGCCGGAAGCTCACTGTGTCCCCTGTGATGCAGGACTCGGGGTCCAGGCCACCGTGGTGTCCAGATGGGACCAGATTCCACGGCGCTGAGCCAGGGGTGAAGGCCGAGGGTCGTGTGTGCAGAGGGAGGGGAGCCCCAGGGCTGGGGGTGAGCAGGAAGGCAGGGAGCCCGAGGACAGAGACGGGGCTGGGACAGGGAGCAGGGCCCTGGGACCCACCTGAGGGTGGAGTGGAGTCCTCTTCTGTCACCTGCAACTGCAGGCGCTCACTGCGCTCAGACCAGCCATACGCATGTTCATAGAGGCAGGTATAATTCCCAGCAGTGTCTTCACTCACCGCGGGGATGTGGAATCTGGTCTCTGTCACTGGCAAACCATCTTGAGACACTTTTTTCTGATTCTCATATACAAGTCTTCCATCCTTCTCCAGGCGGAAGAACTCAGCCCAAGCTGGGCCCCAGCACACGAGGGTCACAGGCCGTCCCCGGGGGACCACAGGGCCTGGCTCAGCCCTGAGGGAGGGTATGGGCAGGACCCCTGGGAGGAAGCAGAGCAGGATCAGGCTCCATCATGAGGAAATCTCCAACCTCACACCCCCCGTGTTTTAAGCCTGCAGCTCAGTGGTTCTTAGCAAACTCACAGAGCTGTGCAACCCTCACCACAGCCCAATTCTTGTCCATTTGCACAATCCCTTGTCCAAGAGACCACCCCTCTACCCCCTCCAGGGGACTCAGTTCTCATCACTCCAATGACTTCTCCATATGACACAAGTTCTGGTGACATCCTGGGCTTTTCTCAGGGGGACATGGGAGGAGTCAGAGCAGACTGGCAACCCCGGCACATACCCCTCCCCATGGTTGCTCTCCAGGGGGGCAGACAGGGCTGGGAGGGAGGCAAAGCGTGAGGATGAGCAGGTCACTGGTAGGGACAGGGATGCTAGTGTAGGAGAGAGTGGGAATGACCTGCTGGGTCTGAAAGCAGCTGGGGGAGAGAGTGGGGGTCAATGGGGGTTGCAGGGCCCCATGGGAAGTCTAGAGGAGGTGGCAGTGGACACTAGCCCAGACCTGCTCCCAGGACCCCAGTGGGTGAAGACCCCCACTCCAGGGCACGTCCTCTGAGCAGCACTCACTCAGGTTCCCTCTGCATTTCCCGCCACCCTCTCAGCCCATTTCCACTTCCTTGT